AAACGGCAAATCTGACAACATTGTAAATAACAAATATGGAATCTCCGTATCCCAAAATAGGTGTACCTTAAATTTTGTACAATTATGATTAGCATTTTACGAGATAATTAGCCGTTTCCAGACTTTTGGGCCACTCTGTATACTATATCATTTGATGGTCATTCAAAAATTAAAATTGACGTGTTTTAAGATTTTTTTTAAAAGTCGTCTGTTTCTGAAATAATGGCTTTATTCCTTACATTTGCATCATACTGTATACAATTTTACTACAATTTTCAATGTAGAAAAGACAGCTTTTTTAATAGATGCTAAAATTACTTATCTTGATATAACTCAAAAACAACACTTAAAAATTTCTCCTATCATACCTAAGCAAACAACAATATAAATAACTGGAATTATATAGCTATTAAAGTGTCACAGTCACAGTTTGCAAATGAGAACTTTTTTATGGCAACCTTTGCTTATGAGTTTGTTCGTAAATGAGATTTACCTGCAACATTAAACGACAATAATTACCTCTAACATTACTAACTTTACGTATACGTGCTGTAATAATCTGTGAAGGGCAATTTATTTCTTATTTCGATGAAATCATAAAATAGATAAACTTTCGTTTAAAATATCTAAATTACTGTGAGTTGAAATTAAAAAAAAAACTGTGGGAAATAGGAAATAAGGCATCAAAACAAATTCTTAAGAAATATTTTTTCCTCACTCTCTGAATAAATTATTAAGAAGAGATGAATTCGACCGTTACTAGATGGAAATTCATTTTAGATAACAACAAAAAACTTTGTTTTCAAAAACTCCATACAATTATTTATATTTTATCACTACAGCTCTTTCGGCAGTGCATTTCTCAAGTTATCTATTTTTGGATGTGTTTACAATTTAAAGTCTTTGACGAAATATGTTGAGAAGGAGAAAACTGTTTATCTCAAGTTGGTCATTCAGAATTATGTCTGTGTTTTTTAATTTGTTAATTCCCATATATTCTAAAAAATATAGCTTAAGGCCTTTATTTAGAATGTGAACAATTAAGAAAAAGATAGATGGTAAAGTGCATATGTAGAATCTGTTTTACTATTATTAAAAGCCCTTTTATGTTCTGCTATACGTTTGATAAATGTTCTACCAGTTGGACCGATGTAAGTTTTTGGGCAGTTGCGACATTTAAGTTTGTATGCACCACTGTGTAAGTGCTTTTTATTTTGACTCTTGCTGTTTTTCTTATATTTGCCTAAGTTGTTGTTTGATCTAAAAGCTGGTATTATTCCTTTCTTTTTTACGTGTTTGGATATTTTTGTTTTTATTTTGCCTTTATATATAATTGAACAGAAAGTACTGGGCTTTCCTCTGGGGTGGAAATACTAATTTCAAGGCTTTCTTGTGTAGTTTTTTATTTAAAATTTTATTAATTGTCTGTTCATTGTACCCATTGTTTACTGCTATTTTCTTAATGATATTTAATTCTTAGAAACATCATAAAAGAAGACATTCGTATGAAACAACCAGAAGAACAATGCGGATTCAGAGCTGGAAGATCGACTATAGATAATCTATTTACACTTATAATATTAATCGAAAAGCGACAACAAAGAAACAACGAAACACATATAGCTCTGATAAATCTTGAAAAGGCATATGATAACGTGCCGATAAATAATTTATGGAGTGAAATGCAAAACATGGAAATAAAACCTTCGTTAATAATAGCAACTCAAAAGTGGTATGTGAACAACACCGCATCAATTAAAATAGGTGGCAAACTTACTGAGAAATTCGACACTACGAAAGGGCTAAGACAGGGATGTTGTTTATCACCTACGCTGTTTAAAATATATCTGGATCGATCTCTACAAAAGTGGCAAAGACAATGCAGAAATATGGGAATACAAATAGATGAGGATATTCTCTATATACTATTCTTCGCTGATGACCAACTGGTGGTAGCAGAAGATATAGACGACCTCAGCTATATGGTTAGGAAACTACAAACAGCGTACGAAGAATGTGGACTGGCAACAAACTTAAAAAATGCGAATATCTCTCAGTTGGGAAAAATACAGTCGAAGACCTGACATTGGAGAGTGACAAAATCAAAGGAACAAATAGAGTAAAATACCTAGGAGTAGTGTTTACAAAAGACGGAAATAGCCATGAAGAAATAAACCCAAGAATAAACAAAGGCAGAAACATTACCAAATGCCTAAACTCCATTCTCTGGGATAAAAAAATCACAAGAACGACGAAAAAACGAATATATAAGACGATGGTTGAGCCGGTGGTAACATACGGAGCAGAGATATGGGACACTCAGTATGGGACACGCAGTAAAAGAAACAGGAAAAAATTACAGGCTACCGAGATGGATTTTATGAGAAGAAGCTGTAGATTGACAAGGATGGACAGAATCCGCAATGAAGAAATAAAACGTAAAATGGAGCAAGAAAAAGACATTATAGATGAAGTCCAGAAAAAACAACTAGCTTGGTTCGGTTATGTAAACAGAATGGCAGACGAGAGGTGGCCAAAGAAAATATTAAAATGGACCCCAACTGAAAGAAGGAAAAGAGGACGCCTAAGAAGAAGCTGGCGAGATGACGTGAATGAAGCCATGGAAGGAAGACAGCTAAATGAAGCCGACACCCGATATAGGAAACGATGGAAACTAGGGACAGGAAAACAACGACAGTTGTAAACAACCTGTGCTATATATATATATATATATATATATATATATATATATATATATATATATATATATATATATATATATATATATAATCGAAGGGATGATAAATTGTGATGATATATTGTGTATTAAATCTAAAAAAATAATGATCTAGGGTAAACCACCCAGTTATTGGCACTTTAAGAAAAAAAGTTGATTAAACATTAGATTTGCTAATATACGTAAAATCATGGAGGGATATTTTGATTTTTTTTATAATTTACTATTATTAGTGAACACAAATCAAATGTCATTTTATTATAAATATTTGGAAAAATAATGCAAAAATAGGTTTTAGACATTACACATATTTCCTAATTGTTGGCAGTTAAATTCTAGTTATTGGCATGTAGTAATTGGCAGTGTACTCAATCATTGGTTTCCAGTAATTGGCATAATTTTTATATCAAAATATTGATTAAGCATTGAAAACAAATCTAAAACATAAATACTTACGTATAAACAAAGGTCATTTTTTTTATACATTTTTAAAAACAAATTTTACAAAAACAATATTCTTATACAATTTGTATATTTGACAAGCTTTACAAACAAAATATTTATTACAATTTTTCATATCTTCTAAGAAATCCCTAGCAAAATGTTCTGGAGCACTTCTGGCACTTAACTCCATACCTAATCAGGAAAAAAATTCATCAAATGTAAAGCATATGCCCTTATTCATAAAAATATTATTTTTAGGTGCTAATCAGAGTTATGGAATTTCTGGATTAAATTATAATACTGACAGATTTATAACGTGCTTTTGGAATCGACCTATTTCCATATTTTATTCATGGGGCTGTCTATCATCTTCTTTATTTAAAAGCTTATTTACTTTTAAGATCCTCTAAAATACTAGGTTTCTGCCCAAATAAAGATGATTCTTTGAGTACCTTAATTTTAGTATTTCGTTAAACACTTTTTCCTTTCAAAGAATTTTATTTACTTTTCAGAAATCGTTTGCTCTATTTTCTAACTTTGTTCCCTCCTTTTCATTTTTTTCGTGTTCCTTTGCCTCAAGTTCTCTTTTATAAACTGAAGAAGAAATTACAAAACTGGATCTTGGGGTATTACGTTTTTCCTTAAGTTCAGTAGTTTTGGCCCAAGGCAGACAATCTTTTATGTTACTGCTCTTATTTATAGAGTTTTGACTAGTGGAGGGAACTGAATCAAAAGTTGAAATATCAGCGGATCCTGTGATTGTTTCTTGAGTATTTACTGAGTAAAGTGCTAAACTATGTGCCACTTTTGTATTTTGTTTAGAAACTTCTTCCAAAAGAACAACAGGTACAGATTCCATATCGTAAGCTAAAGTCATCGCTGCTCTTTTTTCTATTGCAGACATATCGTCCAAAAACATTTCATCCATTACAATTTGTGAGTTAGCGCCTTCTTTATTATTGGAATTATTTGTATGTAAAATGTTAAATGTAATAAGTAGAACCCTGAAACTTTTGCTAGTGTTATCAGAGTTTCCATTTTTTTCGGCTTCTTGTAAGAGCTGTAAAGTGTCTTCATCGCATATGTTGCAAAAATCGGTCAAATTGATTGATTCTGTTGTGGTTTTGCCAAATTTATTTACGGTATATTTTTTACCCGGGCATTTGTTGTAGTAAATACTATCCGCGTTCTAAGGACAGAGACCACATACTATAAAACCACTTAAGATATCCGATGGTTAAAGAGTATCTAACAGTTCTTTTAAAATTGGAGCAAAGTTACTCTTACTTAGTTGTTTAAATAGATTTTGTCTCTTCCAATTAAACAAAGCTCTTTTCCACGCATTTTTAAGTGGCTTGAAACTAGAGACGTCGGCAGGTTGACATTTGGATATGATGCCAGTAAGATTATTTCGAGTTCTGTAGAGAGGTGATTTCTTGTCCCATTTTAATTCTTGCAAAGTTTTGTTCGTAGTATTTTTGAGTGGCGTTAATAAGAATTATGTTTATTTTCAAGTTAGCCATTTCTATCTATAGTTGGGAGATCGCTACACTGTCATATGCTTTTTTAAAATCTACTAAATCGTTCGGCCCTAAATCCCGCTTGTTTTCGGGTTGTTTGTCTTTAATAGCATTTTTTATAAGGTTTTGTAGTATTTTTGAGTGTAGTAGACCTATAGTAATAATCACTGCGATCCCTCTATAGTTTTTAGGAACCGTCTTTGTACTTTTCTTGTATTATATTCTGAAGTTACCAATTAAAAATTTGATTATTTTTTTGCACTTGATTTTTTTTTTGTTAATTTATTTTGATTTTTTAGGCAGGTTTAAAACCCAATATCTTCGATAATATGTTAGCCATAATGGAAAAATACGCTTACAATTTGGAGGGGCTGGTCCAAGAAAGAACAAATCAATTAACAGAAGAGAAAAAGAAGACAGATGCACTTTTGCACCGAATGCTACCTAAGTAAGTATATTTAAGATATTCCACAAAAAATTATTTAATTATAACTTTGTATCACTACTCTTTTCGTATTAAATATATTAGTAAGCAATGGCTTTCACCTACAAGTCAAATTAATTGCTTTAAGTGAAACGTCAAATTTTAACTGCGAAATAATTATTGTAATATTTTGCTAAAAATTAAAATAAAAAGAATTTAGATAAAATAAAAAATAAAATGGATAGAGCAAATAAAGTGTCTTTAACTCTACGTGAAACCAAAGCAGCTGCTAAAAATTTAATTTATTAAACTCTCTTGCTCTTTTATACAAAAAAATATGCATCTTAAAATATTAATTTACAAGATAATTTTATTCTTGCCACTAAGCTCAAACATTGTTTAAATATATTAATTAACTTAGATTATGTTTGGTTAAGGTCAATATGAGTCATAGTCATATGATACATGATAGACTGGCTGCTGCTGACGTAAAGCAGTCACCGCGTCTCTGTTTGATGGACCGAATTTATCGACCACGTAACCTGTTCATTGGTGAATTGGGTCATGTGGTCCATAAGCCTGTCAAATTAGACATAGATGCAGGGACTGCTTTGCATCAGTTTTCTCTGCCTCATTGGAGGAACGGCCTGGTATTGCAAGGATTAGTCTATCTTATATTATATGTCTATGATATGAGTCATAGAAGTATAATACTTATTTTAGTATAAGTATATTTTTAACAGTCAATTTCTAGACTGACTCGTCAGACTCTTTAACAATATTTATAACAGCGGGGAGTTTCCTTAAGACTGGCTAGAGTCAACTTTTGTTGCCATACCAAAAAAACCAAAAGCAAAGTCTTGTGATCAACATCGGATGATAAGTCTAATTAACCACATTTCGAAGGCATACACCAAGGTTATTTACAACAGAATAAGCTAAAAATGCGAGGATAACATTGGAGATTCGCAGTTTGGGTTTCGGAAGAGAAGCACTTTTTAGTCTACAGGTACTCATCCAGTGCTGCAGAGATATGAACAAAGACGTGTACATATGCTTTATAGACTACGCAAAAGCATTCGATAACGTAAAGCACGAAAAGATAATTGAAGTTCTCTATAAGATCGGAGTCGACTACAGAGACATTCGAACAATAGCGATTCTCTATTGGGGTCAAACAGCTAAAGTGAAAGTAGGATCTACATTGACCAATAAAATTGAGATCAAGAAAGGGGTACGACAGGGCTGTATCTTGTCTCCAATTCTCTTTAATATATACTTAGAATGAGTGTTTAAGACAGCGCCGGAGGAAAGCACAAAAGGTATAAAGATAAATGGAGAAATAATTAATAACATAAGGTATGCTGATAACAATGTGATTCTAGCAAGTAGCATGGAGGAACTGAGTTGCCTAATGAGTAAGATACAAAAAACAAGTGCACAATACGGACTCAGACTAAATATCACAAAAACCAAATGGATGCTAGTAAGCAAAACCCAATAACCACCACAGCAACTGATATAAGACAATGAAAAAATTGAACACGTGGATTCGTTCATCTAATTGGGAACAACAGTTAACTCAAATTGGGATCAAGCGAAGGAAATACGTATAAGAGTAGAAAGGCAAGAGCATCGTTCACTAGCATAAAGCAAATTTTCACCTCTAAAAGCCTCACCCTACCTCTCAAAATTCGACTTCTGAAATGTTATGTATTCCCGGTTTTGTTATATAGAATGGAGGCGTGGAGAATGACCGCAACATTGATGAAAAAAGTAGGGGCCTTCGAAATGTGGGCTTACCGACGTATATTACGTATATCCTGGACTGAGCACGTGACCAACGAAGAGGTACTACGCCGAATGGGTAAAGAGAGAGAGGTAGGAATAAGTATAAAGAAAAGAAAGTTGGAATACTTGGGTCACGTTATGAGACATAATAAATATAGAGTACTACAGCTGATCGTTCAAGGGAAAATAAACAGCAGAAGGGGTCCAGGGAGGAGAAGACATTCGTGACTCCAAAACTTGCGGCAATGGTTTGGATTGTCATCTGCTGAACTATTCAGATCTGCCGTAAACAAAGTCAGAATAGTTATGTTAATTGCCAACGTTCGGAACGGACAAGGCACATGAAGTAGAAGAAGTATATTTTTAAATTTTTGTTATTTATTAAAATTCTTTATCTAAAACAGACAGCACTGTGATAAGATAAAATAAAGATAGATGTTCTATTTTTGATGTAAGTGTGGGTGTGCAATTATTCCAACTTGTAATTATCAAATTAATAAAGATCCAATTTTGGTCTGTATTTGGGCAGAAAAGATATTATTGTCAACTTCAATAATTAAAATTAAAAATAAATCATTTAAGGACATATAAAACACATTCAAAAGACAAAAAAGGCATTTAATTTAAAAAAGCACATTTATTTTAAAAACCTTTAGGTTTTATGCTAGAGATATCAACAACAGGTGTAATTTTTAGTTTTAACCAATAGTGTCACAACAGGTGTAGAAGAGATTGATAAATTAAATATGAAAGTAGGATAAACACTTGAACAGTAGAGACGACCTCCTCTTGAGGAGAGAGTTTAAAATGTATTAAAACAAAATGATATCTTGGATGGTGAAATAATTGTGAAAAGTAATAGTTTTAGGTATCTAGAATCAGTATTACAGATCAATATTATACTAATCACCCTACGTTACCACAAGATGTTGCCTATATTTTCAAATACGCAAAGCCAAAGAAGTTGACAGCCACAATTATACGACTGAAAACTAATCACGGTGCATTCCGAGCTCACTTGGCTAAGTTAAATATTATCCCTTTTGGGGTATGCTTTTGAGGGGCGCCTAGGCAGAACATCCCAAATTACGATAAAGAAAAAGGGAATAATGTATTATAACTAAACCAAATAAATGAAAACATGTTTTGTTAACGTGTTAGAATAGGTCAAGATAAATAAAGAGAATAATTACAGAATTAGGACTATTAATAACTATTACCCAGATGAGATTATAAATCATTATTAAATCAACTTTTTAGTTACGAAAGTACGTAGATAATAATTAATACATTTATTAATCATTTTGACATTACTTATTTCATCATACATAAAAAGGGAGCGAAAGATTTATGTAGCAACTATCGCACAATTGCTCTAATTGCGCATTGCAGTAAGATACTCTTACACATAATTCTCGAGAGGATAAAGCCCTTTTTACTACCTAACATTGCGGAGGAACAAGCAGGTTTCGTCCCAGGACGTGGTACTAGAGAACACATTTTAAACGTACGGCAGATTGTAGAAAAATCCAGAGAATTCAACATCACAACATATTTGTGCTTCATAGATTATAGTAAAGCTTTCGATTTGGTCAACTGGAGTAAAATGTGGCAGGTTTTGTCTGAAATGGGAGTCCCTAATCATCTGATACTGCTAATTAAAAGCCTGTACAATAACAATTATGCCAGAGTTAGAATAAATGGGGAACTAACTGACAGTTTCAGGGTCACAAAGGGCGTGAGACAAGGCTGCATACTAAGCCCAATTTTATTTAACATCTATGGTGAATGGATAATGCGGAAAGCTACTGAGGACTGGAACGGTGGCATCACCATTGGCGGGAAGAAGATTTGCAACTTGAGATATGCAGATGATACTACTATCCTCGCTAGTTCTGAAACTGAATTGATTCACCTGCTACAACGGATAGAAGACGTAACCTTATCGATGGGCCTTAAAATAAACAGGGATAAAACGAGAATCATGATAATTGACAGAGCTAACAACAATCAAAATCATCTGGTTAGGATAAACAATATCGCTGTTGTAGATAAATTTGTGTATCTGGGCTCATTAATAACCAACAAAGGAGGCTGTACTGAAGAAATAAAGCGGCGGTCAGCAATCGCAAAAAGCGCTATGGCAAAATTAACAAAAATTTGGAAAAGCCATGAAATTACTACCGATACAAAAATGAGACTAGTAAGAAGTCTAGTTTTTCCAGTTTTTACTTATGCATCGGAATGCTGGACCCTTACTGAGAAAGACAAAAAGAACATAGATGTATTTGAGATGTACTGCTGGAGACGAATGCTGAGAATACCATGGGTGGCCCGAAGAACAAATGAATCCATACTGGTCCAGCTAAACATAAAGAAAAGACTAAGAACACAAATAACAGAACAGATAATAAGTTATTTTGGACATGTGCTTCGAAGAAATGGTCTTGAAAAACTTACCATCCAGGGAAAAGTAGAAGGCAAAAGAAGTAGAGGTAGATCTCCTACACGATACACGGACCATATTGTTGCTACCATTGGCGCTTCATTGTCAGAATGTGCTAGATTGGCAGAAGATAGAAAAACGTGGAGGAACATTGGAAAAATTACCTAACAGCTTCATGATATCACGATACCTGCATCAGGTTAACGACTAAGAAGAAGATTTCATCGTAAATCACGAAGCGAAGACATCACACTTAACGATCCAATCTACAACCGGTATCCTAATTAAAAAAAATCTTATATTTCAGGACTGTTGCAGATTCTCTTAAGAAAGGAGAGAAAGTCGAAGCAGAATCCTTTGAATGTGTTACGATATACTTTAGCGATATTGTAGGATTTACAGAACTGTCAGCTGTCAGCACACCTCTTCAGGTTATTGATCTCCTTAATGATCTCTACACTTTATTTGACTCAATAATCTCCCACTATGATGTATATAAGGTAAGAAAAACAACTCTCTTGTTGTGTAATGTTTTTAGTTGTAAGTAATTTAGAATTTAAGTAATTAGTAAAATTAAAAATAGTAAAATAATCATATATATATATATATATATATATATATATATATATATATATATATATATATATATATATCTTACAAATCGATCCTGTAATAATTTTATCTCTCGTGTTTTATATTTTGTCAGTGTAATCTGTAGTTTGTTCCCATATAAATTTAATATTTTTAACAGGAATTTCTTAATACAGTACGTTAAGTTTTGTACTTAAATACGAAGTAAATTCCACCTCGACTTCTGGACAGAAAACGAGTAAACCATTTAGTAACGCATGGGATATGCATCTCCTTCCGTCGATTTTTGTTTTCCTTATGTCTATTAGGTTCATTTCTTATAACATAAACTCGATAAAATTACACTGACCTTTATAAGGCGGTGCATTTGTATCGGTTTTTAATAATGTGAACAATTTTTTGTGATTGAATTAAAAAAAAGCGCATTTACAGAAATATTTAATCTTCTACGGCTGTCATAAATCCCAATCTGTCATAAAAACTTATGCGGATAGATGTAAGAGTTTCTCTTGTAACATAATTGTAGACTTCTGTTATTCGGTTTTTTAATTCATTAAATTTTGTACTCTAGCCTTAGGATGATCGTAGATGATGATTTTTGAATGTCCCAAAAAAAGGCCATGGGTTTAAGATCTGGAGATCGCGCAGACCACTTAATATCGCCTTTTCCACTGATAACTCGATTCGGGAAAGTATTGTTTAAGCTCTCCCTAATTATTAGAGTATTTTGAACTGAACAGCCCTCTTGATGGAACCAAATATTCTTTAGATTTACATTAAAAAGATTGCGAATAGCGGAAAGAACATGATTCTGTAACAAATCAAGGTATACCCGACTACTTAAGTTGCCTTCAGTAAAAAAGGACCTATTATGTGGTCTAGTAAAATGCCAGTCCAGACATTAACTTTGTGAGAACGTTAAGTTCCGTGAACAACACTTCTGTGCTGATCTTCCTGCGCCCAGTACCTCGTAATGAAAGGATTGCGTCTTCCTACTAACGAAACTCCCTACTAACGTACTCCCTACTAAAGAAGATTCATCAGCTAATAAAATATTTTTATTAAAATTTATTTTATCATTAACCCTCGTTATTAGATTCTCACAAAATTCTATTCTGTGAAAGTAATCTGGATGCTGCGTTTTCGAATATTTAAAATTCTTAAACGGTGTTTTTTCCATACATTCGTTACAGTAACATTGCTAACATTTCACTTCCTAGCAACGCTTCTACTTGAACGTGTTGAATCTACTTGGATTATTGCACAAATTTGTGTACCCGGTATTGTCGTTCCTTAAGTTTTTTTGGTGACACTTCTTGAGCCTGACATTTTCTGCAATTTTTGAGGCAATAGGTAACAATGCAAGGAATTGGTCTCCCCTCAAAAAACACAGAAAATAAATCTTCACACTTTTATCTAGAATTACCACCAGAAAACCATTTTATTCTTTGAACTTTTACTGCAGTGGTATAAACAAACATGTTGTTTACAAAAATAAATTAAAAATTTACGCTGATATTGCTTTAAACCACCACTATATAATGACAAATTATTACGGGGCATCGGAGGTTCGTGGAAAGTCTATGGCGCGCAGTGTTGCCATTTGTAGTGTGTATATCTAACTTAAAACTTAACATATTGTATATTAATAACTTTGATATTTTAGGTAGAAACGATAGGTGATGCTTATATGGTAGTCAGCGGTCTTCCTATTAGGAACGGAGACCGACATGCCGGAGAAATTGCTTCCATGGCTCTACATTTGCTCAGTAAAATCAAGAAATTCGAAATTAAATATAGACAAGGCGAATTACTTCAACTAAGGATAGGAATACATTCAGGTAAATAAAAAATACATCTTCTGCAATGAGATTTTTATTATTGGGGTATAATTTTAACCATCGAAAGACTCATCAAAACCGGTTGGTGACAGTGGGTAACAATATAACTACTCCTGAAAGTTGGGGGCCAACGTACAACAATAAAATGAACAACTTTCTTTGGAAATCAATTGTTAGACCTCGACTAGCTCAGTTTATCAGGTGTACGAATGTCTTATCTTAAAGTAAATCTGAAATATGAGTTTGGTTGGGATAAATTAACCAAGGTATTAACTAGCCACATTTATTGTATATAAAAAAATGTAAAATTAAAATTTAAATAATAAATTAAAAACAAAGCATATCCTGCCTAAAACTTAGAGAAACTTTAAATTGATACTTATGGCAAACATTGTTGGCTTCAAGTAGTTGGACAGAATAACTTGTTGGTGACTTTAAATGCTTGTTGGTTGGATTTTAGAATGCGGCTAGTTTTCGAAATGGTGAAGATTCTAACAGTATCAGACCTGTTGCAGTTTTAACTTTTAAGGTTACTTTTTTATACTGTTGCAGTTGTCATTCCAAGTGTCGCGGCTTTAGAACCATGAGGGTGTATAAAGCTACACCCAACAATGAGGAACGATAAAAATTTATATGTGTCAAAAAAATATTAATTCTTGAGTTAACGACTAGATCATCCTCCTCCTCAATTCTTTCTCCTTCGTATGGATGTAGTGGCGTCATGTAATTTGTTTGACTATTTCTGTCCAATTATCTCTCTCCTGTGCGTTTTGTTTTGCTTCGGAGAATAAGTAACCAGTCATCTCCTTTATTTGGTCCGACCATCGTACTGGAGATCTTCCTCTGGATCTTTTATCTGCTAGGTTACCTTCAACTATCATTTGCCCGATACCTTCTCTTCTTTTAGTTATATGTCCAAAATATCTCAGTATATTTTGGTTGATAGTTGTGATTAGTCTAGTTTTTATGTTAAGTTCTGCTAGAATTAAGTTATTTGTGCAATGGACGGTCCATGGTATGCGCAAGATTCTACAATAGACCCACATTTCAAATGCCGTTATACGCTTTGAATCGGCTTTTTTTATTTTCCAAGTTTCTGAAGCATAGGTGACGATAGAAAACATCAATTCTCTATCTAATTTTGTATTTTTTTGTGATGTCAGTGTGATTTCTTCCAATTTTTTATGAGTTTGGCTGTTGCCGATCTGGCCATTGTGATGCATCGAGGGATCTCGTCTTCGCATATTCCACTGTTAGTAATAACGGAGCCTAAGTAATTAAATTGCCTGACCATGTAATTTTTTCTAATTCTATCGATGATCATAAATTTTATTTTCTGCATATTTATTTTCAAACCATATTCCGTACTTACCGTGCCTATATGAACGTCAATATAACAGTGTCATCAGCATAACTTAGGTTTTTGATTTTTCTTCCTCCCATCGTCGCTTCAACTTGCCGTTCCCTAAAGGGGATATTATGTATCCCTGTCGAACTCCAGATTTTAATTTGAAGTTTTTCGAAACCACCTTAAAACCCATTAGCGCCCACCGTTACTATATGGTAACGTAAAACACATGATTTTTAAAAATTCTGCGGTACGTCCATGGAACTAGTCAGCGACGTATTTTGAAAAATATCGTTTTTAGGAATACTTTAGGCATCCATAAAACGTAACGGATTCGTATTTTAGTCTTCTCTCAACCGTCGAGAGATAATCATATGACAGTGTGGTTTGAGTTTATAGAAAAAGATAGACGTCCGTTTTGCGTAAGTAATTTTTGACAGTCTTCTAGTAACTATATTTGCATATTTAAAAAAAACTAAGTTTATTATACTCCAACTTATTATAAATTGTTGTATTTTATCAACAATTAAATGTAGCGAATTTGGTAGGAATAGTCAAAGTACGCCGTTACCATATGGTTGCGGTGGGCGCTTACGGAGTCATAATTTAATTTTTTTTTCAGTCGTGGATTTTCGTTAGCAGAAGCGCTAGATATGGTTTACGGTGACGAAAAATTAGCTGAGCAAGTCGATAATATTTTTATAACACCGCCAGATGTAAATGGTGCTGATACAGACGAGGATTATGCAAATGAAGATGAAGATGGATTCATAAATAACCTAACAGGTGCTTAGTTGTACAAATAATGATATACGTACATATTATAATTGTTTATTTTTACAGGTAGGCAGCTACGAGCGCAAGCAGAAATACAACTTTCTAGCAACGAAAGGATCGGTTCTGACAATGAAGAAGTGCAGACAGATGTAAGTATAACTAGTATTTTTTTAATTTGCTTAGGTTTAAAATTTATTTCTATTACAGTTACAAGCAGTAGTGGAGACACCCGAAAGATAAACTAGAGCATCGTTTCAACTATAGCAAAATGAAAGAAAAGATGCATTAATGAAAAACTGTGCTTGGGTTCAAGGAGACTTACAGTCTGCAATTTTTTCGTTTCCAGAAGAAGATTATTCTAGGTATGAAAATCTATCATGTCTTGATATATTCAGTATATTTTTTGATGATGAGGCAGTAAACTACTTAGCGGAAAAATCCCAACGATATGCACAATTTGTAAATCAAACTGACCCATGCATTACATCTAGAGAAATACGTTGTTTTATAGGTATTCTCATGCTATCGGGGTACAATCCATTACCATCGAAGAGAATGTATTGGGATACTCATGATGATGTAAAGAACACTTTAGTTTCTAATTCAATGAGACGAAATAGATTTCTGCAAATTCAAAGGTTTTTGCATTTCGCAGATAATACAAAGCCTAATATTAGTGACAAAGCATGGAAAATTCGACCATTGATTGACAGAGTAAAAACAAAATGTCTTGAAAATTTTGTTCCAACAAAAAATCTATCATATGACGAGTCTGTGATAAAGTATTATGGCCGCCATCAATGTAAACAATTTATACGAAATAAACCAACCCGCTTTGGTTATAAAATGTGGTCGCTAAATACTTCTACTGGATATCTGGTAAACTTTGACCTATACCAAGGAAGAAATCCACGTTCAAATGAACAATACGATAAACTTTTTGGCAAGTGTTCATCCCCTTTGGTGCGAATGCTTGAAGAGATAAATCACTCAGATTTACACTACAATTTACACGTTGACAACCTATTTTCAGGATTTAATTTATTTAGTTACCTACGATTTTTGAGGTACGGCACAATTGGAACAATTAGAGAAAACAGAATTCCATCTAGCTGTCCCTTGGAAAAAAAGAAGGAGTTTTCTAAAAGAAATCGTGGCTATTCACAACATACAATAGAAAAAAACAGCGGTATCTTACTGGTGCGATGGAAAGATAACTCTGTTGTCACAATGCCATCTACGAGTTGTGGTGGTTTAGCATTGGGCACGGCAAAAAGATTTTTTATGAAGAAAAACGCCATATTCAAATAAGTCGGCCTCACTGTATTGCTGAATACAATAAAAATATGGGGGTACCGACTTGATGGATCAAGCTGTTTCAACCTACCGAGTAGCAATTCGCAGTAAAAAATGGTACTGGCCAATTGTAACATGGTTGTTGAATGTTGCAGTCCATAATTCATGGCATTTATATAAAAAAAATAAAAAAGATATATCCTTGCTATCGTTTAGGAGAGAATTGGTCCAAGTTCTTCTCGCAAGATATGGAAGTCCTCCCTTATATACACGAAGACCTAGTCTACATAGACAGAACTTGCCAGATCTTCGTTTTGATCGCATCGATCATTTCGTTACACCAAGCAGTAGAAGGCGATGTGCTGGTAAAGGTACAACATCTGGACGAACAATGTGCCAAAAATGCAACGTTGGTTTGTGTGTTAATTGTTTTATAGGATACCACGCCAGACGATAAAAATATTCTCAAATAAATATTTAAAAAAAAATTAAAAATTTTTCATTTCAACGATCCTAAAAATTCCTTAAGCGCCCAGCGTTACCATATGGTAACACCATGTAATTTAAAAAAAAAAGACATGAAACCGAAAAAACTTATTTTTTTTGGATTAAATTATTAACATTTTCATCTAATTAACCCTAAAAGTAAAGATTTTCAAAAAAAACTTGGGTGCTAATGGGTTAACTCTTATATTAGTAGTATTATTTGCATATAGTTCCTGTTACAAATAGATTAGATGTTCTGGCGTACCCATTTCTCTAAGTATATTCCACATTTTATCCCATTTTACGACATTAAAGGCCTTGGAATAGTCAACAAAGCATAAAATAAATGTGTTTCTATGTTAAACTCTCGACATTTTTCGATAATTTGACGAATCATAAGACTATGTTCTCTTGATCCTCTACCTGGGACGAGTCCTTATTGTTCTTGGGAAATTCATTCATTGATGGTGGTTAGAAGTACTGCAATCTGTCGGTGAACCCAACGTAAGTTTCCCCAGTCATTTGGCCACTTTCCGGTATTCCAAATTTCATTGCAAATTCTAAGTATTACTTCCTTCCCTAATTCTCCTATTTCTTTGAGTGCTTAAGCTGTTATTCTATATTCTTTTTCTGATTTTCTGAATTTTAGCTTTTTAATTACTGCCTCAATTTCTGATTTCAATATTTGAGGTTCTTTTTCATAACTTCTTTTCTCTGTATTATTATCTGGGTCGTTATTAGAGAATCTTCTTCAAGTGCTATCTTCGCGGCGTAGGTCGGCAATCATCATAGCTATTCGGACTTTTTAGACGGCTGGTCTGAAAAGTTCATTTGATGTACATCCGTACCACTCCCTCAGGTTGCGCAGCCATGACATTCGACGCCTCCCTATGCTTCTCTTTCCTTGGATCTTTTCCTGCATGATTACTTGGAGCAAGGTGTATTTCTCTCCACTTGTAATATGTCCCAGATATGTTAGAGAATAGTACTTCGCAATATTGTTTCCACACCTCTGCGATACCGTCTGTTTGTTATGATATTTCCACTATTATCTTCGATATTCTGTGTCTGCAGTTTGAATTCTCTTGCTCCTCTCTTTCTCTTTTCAGAAAAGTTCTCTAGATTCTTGGCGGTCAGCATTGTTCCTCTAGTTGTATATATATGGTTTCAATATACTTATTTTAACCCTTCTGTGCAAGTGTTTTATAGTGGTATTTACGGTGCATATCTCTATTTCTTTTGGTATAAATTTAAAGTGCCGTTTTTTAAAGTTTTCGTCTATCTTCCACAAGACTGAGAATTTTCTTCAGTCATCCAATGTTTTTTTCTAGCTAATTTTTGTCTTTGAAATTAGTATTGTTGATGGCATCAGTGATACATTTCTTTGTGTATTTCCACATTTTGTCAGTGTGTCCCATAGTCACTGGTAAGTCAGCTTCTGCTTATGCTTCTCTAAACTTGTTATAGGTGCTTTCGAGTCAATTTTTGTATTTTATTTGTGATTGTTTTACTGTGTAACTTAATGTGAAGTTCTCCTTGTAAGATTTTATGGTCGGGACCACAGTGTGTAGCTGGTTTTGTCTTCCTGTTGATTATTGAGCTTCTCCATCGTTTAGTGCAAAAGTCCTCCAAAATCTCCCATCAAGCAAAGACCATCCTCCGCGGATGATATTTAAACATTGTATTTACTATACTAAGATCCACATCGATGGCAAATTGAAGGAACCATTCACCTCGTTTATTTCGCTCGCTTAAGCCATCCTCACCTATCGTTCCTTTCCAATAGTCATCTATTTTAGTTTTTACTATTTTTGCATTCCAATCTCCTATTATCAGGACAAAGGAACTAACTTTTTCTCAAGTATTGTAAGTGTAATACAAAGTGAAGTAAGGTAAAAGATCCAGTTGTTAGGGGGGTGTTTTAAAAATTCATAAGGGACCCAGTGAGAACCAGCAGATTTGTTTCATTTTTAGCTGTTAAGAACTGTGTATACTTCCTTAGAAGTAATTTGGATATTAAAATACGGGTGATTCGCACCAAAAAAAATGTATTTTCTCATATAGTTATTTGTTGAAAATTTTTGGCAAATTGTTTCCATAAATCAACCGATATTTCGATATTATGTTGATTGCCATGTATCCTGTCGATCATGGTCCAAAACATTTTAGTGTTCCTACAGTTAGAAAGGTTTATTCGTCATCATCATCATCATCCAGCCTCTATTTATCACGTCCACTGCTGGACATAGGCCTCCCTTAAGCTCCTCCATTCCTCACGATTTTGTGCTCTTTGTTGCCAATTTTTAGTGATACGCCTGATGTCGTCGGCCCAACGTGTAGGTGGTCTTCCTCTACTGCGTTTGTCTGCTCTTGGCCTCCAATTTGTAATTTTGCTCGTCCATCGTGAATCGTGCGAAAGGTTTATTAAACTTTCTATATCAAGCAGTTTTTGTTCTCTTGTCAGTAAAATCTTGTATTCTTTTTTGGAAGAGACATATCGTTCCCAGGCCGGTAAAGTAGCGAATCTGCGAAGTTCACAAAACTTTCAACTTTTACAACAGTGAATTTATGAATAATTATATTCGTAAGTTTACCGTTGGAACTCAATAAGTTTAACACGTTCAAAATTACGAATAGTGCACATTAGCTAGTTTACTACAAAGGTATATTTTTATATTCTTTGACGGACTGTAAATCTATACAATACCACACTAATGCGTAAAACAATCCAACTCTCGGGAAATTAACCACGCAGCATGCAGGAATTAGTCACTTTATTAGTTTTGTTCGTTTTATTGAGTTGTAATACCGCAAGCTTGGACTTGTTTACTGTGTATTGGATGTTATTGGCTATTAACTATTGTTTTAGTAAGTACTTTATTTTTTGCTATACTTTAGTATACCTAGTTTTATATAGTTGTTGTAGCTTTTTGTTTTAAAAGTTTTATTAAAATTTAATTTAACGGGTATCGTTTAATAACTAAAACGTGACTTTTGATTTATTCTCAACATACTCTAAAATTTTCTATATCTAAGGATCTTGTGTAGACTATAACTGAATTTTATTATATCCATACCGTCATTAAATAAAATATGTAGATAAAGTTACATAACACTATGTTTTTAGAAAAGTAATACAATTCGTGTAAGTTATGGACACTCCTCTAAATGTTAGCTCCAGTACAAATAATATTCTTCAGATGGAAAGTATTTCCAGACAAGAAAATACAGCAAAAGAAGCTAAAACAACGAATTCTAATTATTGTTCTCAAGGATGTAGTCAAGGCTGATTTTTTTAGGATTAAGTACTAAAAATACTAATTCTAATAAGGTTTCCACTCGTCGCCACAAAAAGGTGAAAGATGTT